CTGTTTCCTTTTCTCTAGGCAAGGTTTTGTGTTGTTTGGGGTTTTTTTTGTCTCTCCTTCAAATGTTTAAAAGTTGTGGAGTTGTGTGAAATATGACATATGTTCGTGTCTCTATGTGTAAGGCTCCCTAATAATTAATTAGTATATAAAATAATTGAAAAACAATAAGAACATAAAAATAATTTATTTAGAATAAGAGCATTTTTGTAATCATATTAGTTTTCATTTAGATTTACCTAAATTACTAAACAACTTATATGGAATGGTATCATTCCTAGTCCGATTTTAAAAGTTCAATTATGACTCCTTCACATTCCAACTCCTCCTCAATTCAATTCCTCTCATTCTGATTACAAATTAGTAAACGAACCATTGTGTGTGAGTGTGACTAAACTATATTTGGTGTATATTTATTTTGATGTATAAGTAATTGGCTAAAATTATTGTTGGTCTTAATATATTTAAGAATATTAAATATTATGGATACAATAAAGCGAACTCGTTTTGTATTGTGAAGTGATTAAAAACACTTGGGGAATTGCTAATATTCGACTCCGTGATAGTAAGAGTAGTTACATCCCATAAAACTATCGTTTTTAGGCTCACTTCTCCGGTGAACTGGTTCATTCATACGTTTATCCTATTAAGAGCAAAAATGTAAGGAACTCAGAGAAGAGAAGACTAAATTGTGAACTCAACCATCATGAGTTCCTCTTCAGGTACAAATTGGTATCAATTAGGGTTTAATTAGTTTCGATAATGTTTCATTATGACTATATATATTATGTTTTCATGTGGTATCAGAGCCGGTCAATCAAAGCCTTAAATTTGCTTCAAATATCAAAATTGTGTTGTTTATTTCCGCTGCGTTTTTGTTTATCTTATAATTGTACATACTTCAATTATATCGTCTGTTGTGATGTTCATATCAACTCTCAATCCTTTTCGTCTTGTTAATATGGATGACATTGGAGACCATGCTTTTTGTTTGTCCGGTGGATTTAATAGAGGAGTTATTTGACTATAACTTAGGTGATGATTTTGATTCCTCTCTTGATTCTTTAAATGAATTACCAAAGTAGTTTATTTATCTTCTTTTTTTTCTTCAAAGGATTCACTTATGAAAATAAGAATGTAGTTCATATACATAAACAAATAAACTTGTTTCCAAAGAAATTGTGTGCTGGGTTCGTTATAACTTAGTGTAAGGTGAGTATGATTGACGTGAAGTTTTGTGAAAACTTCTTGCCCAAAGGTGGTGTTTTTTGCTTAAATTCTTGGATTTTATATTTAGCTATTTAAGACTTGTAAATTCATTCATATATATATATATATATATATATATATATATATATATATTGACATTTATCTTGCCCAAATGTCTGACTGGTTCTATAGCTTTAGAGTGACAATGCAGCTATTTTTCTCTTAACTATCACAAATTTATGGATTTGCAAAGGATGTTGTTATGCTCAATCTCGTTAATATTGAAGTTGAAAGGAAACATTTTCAAGACTTGGAAGTAGCAAATCGAAATGCATTTAAGCATGTTGAGTTTCTTATTGTTTTAAACAGCTCCAATCTCCAACCCTAACTAGTGAGAGCACTAGTCAACAACGAGAGGAATTTTCTAAGTGGGAAAAGGTGAATCAAATGTTTCTTTTCATCATGCAAAATGCTATGAAGGATCATATAAGCGGTGGCATTCCAAGCTGCGACTTGTCCAATGAGTCTTAAACAACAGAATTGCATCAAACGGATACCAAAATAGATTCAGGGCATTGCAATTATGCTAAAAGGACAAATTCGGGTCCTTGGCCATGTCATGCACAACAGTTTCTGCCGAACGGAAACTTAATTTTTCAACTATCTTCAAATCACACCAAATTTTACAAGCATGTAGAACTCAACACAATGATCAACTTTCATAACTATCCCAATGATCAATGCTAGCTGGAAACGGGCCAAAACCATTGGGAAAATTGGAATTGGATTTATAGGTTATTAGAACCAAATTTGCGCACCTCCGTGATCAATGGTTGAGCACAAATTCGAGTAAACTTGTGCATGCAAAATAGTAAATCAACCGTAAGAAAACCTTAGGCCGAGGGTGTGCCGGCCAAAGGCTCTCTGACGGTTAAGTTAGTGAATGATTTTTAGACTCAAGCAGTGGGCAAGAGAATTCAAGTGTATAGATTGCGTTACCGTAGATGGATCTTATATGGGTGTATTCATACTGTGGGAGAGAGACCTTTTTAGGATAAAATCTTCATTCTAAGTCGAGAGAATCCTAGAGGATATCTAGTAAGTAGATATTGTATCCTCTTAGGAGTTGTGATTACTTGTGGCGCACGCCTATCCCTAGATTGTAAGGACTCCAAGACTTATAGGATCCGATTGTGTCTAAATTCGAATCAAATCACGTGTCTTATGAAACAAGTATGGTCATCCAACAGAGTCGCCAAGACTCTTCCTATTGCCTCGGAGTAGAGTGATGGTGGCACCCTGCTTCGTTTGATACAGCTTCGCCCGAAGCTGGCAATTACATGACTGGACTTATGAGATAACAGTATTCGTATCAACCTTACTCTAGCCTTGAAAAATCAAGGTCCCACATAGGTTTCTAAAGACCCCACTCTAAAACAGATATCAACATAGGAACAAAGCATACCAACTTAAACATTGTGTAGAATGGATGAAGTTTCATACCTCACTCAATGAAAATGGTTGCTGGATTCTCAGAAAAAGGGAAAACCGCGGTAAAAACCTTAGACTTTGCTACTTCGACTAGGAAAAGTGGGTAAAAATTTGAAAAATCCAACCCCATCAGGACGTTCGAATCGTCAAAAGCCTTCTATAGACACCAAGATCACCTAAATAGAGGTCGAATTAAGGAAAAATAGTATGGTGAAATTTCATGTGTTGCAAGTCCAAAACCGGGTAAAAAAGGACCCAACTCAAGTATGTCTTGTTCAAAGTGGCTGCAGGGGTTTTTATTAGAGGTTTAGGAGGAAAATTATCAAATTGCCCCCAAACTTAAAACGCCTCTGACTTCTTCATTTTTCTTATAGACTCTGACTTCTTAATTATAATTCTGATTCGTGCATGGATTCCCCTATGCACTTCTGGGATTGAGCTCTATCCTAAAATACGAAGAGTGACCCAGAAAGGTCTATGAATTTTTAATAACTAATTAACAAAAATCAAACTTTATAACTAAGTAATCAAAACTCTATAATTAAAGGAAAATAATAATAATTTCTTGAAAATACGAAATACAAAAAATTAAATAGTGAAATCCGAGGACGGGACAACACTTGTGGCCCACCTCACTTGAGCTTAGACCTAGCAATTTCTTACACAACATGTTTACCCGACCCGAAACGACACAAAAATAACGAGTTTCGGATCAACACGTTAACTAATTGTGTCGTTATTGGCTCACACGTTAACAACTCCTTAATAACTTCTTAACCGGTTTACCCACAGGTAACATGCTTCAACCTGATAAGAAAAAGTGAATTTGATAATGTTAAACTAATAGAAAATCTTACTACAATAGCCATAGTATTTAATCTCACTTAGTTGTTCTTATAAAATTCCAAAACACCTTAAAAATAAGCAATTTAAAAATACCAAAGCACATTAAAAAATTCATAATAATTAATTTATAAGTGTGAAAAAAAGGTGAAAAAAAATATGCAAACACTCGTGATCTCATTCTCTGTTCTTTGAGGATGGGTATATTATCGTTTGGATTTTTAAAATCCTACAAACCCTCATGCTTTTAGGAGGAGTTCAAAATGAATAAAAATTCGTAATAATTAACGTAAAAGTGTGAAAAATGTTAAAAGAATGTACAAACGCTCGTGACGGCATCCTTTAAGCTTAGACGATGGTTATATCATCGTTTAGATTTTTAAAACCCTCCAAATAGTCATGAATAGTGTTTATTGTTCGAGCACAAAATTAGATATATATATATATATATATATATATATATATATCTAATCACTTGTTAACCGTCGATTGTCGTTTATGCTCTATTCTTCTCACTGAATTTCATTTTTCAGAGTTTCGCTTTTGAAAACATGAACTTTTAGTGGATGCAGAAGATGAACTATTCAGATTGTCGATATCATGTTGGAATGTTTACGGTCAACTGAAAAATGAATCGATGTTATATAATTTCTAGAGACTTCATAAACTCCGAAGAATATATTCACTAACTGTAAAAATTAGAATATAATATCAACGATCTGCACTGTTCATCTATCTGCATCCGCTAAAGTATCATGTTTTCAAGAAAAATGAATTGGACAAAAAAAATACGAAATCCGATTTGAAGAATGGAACGTAAACATAAGCGAAAATCAACGGTTAAATTCAAATATATGATTTATGGGATTATGGTAGCGAATTTCGGAGTTGACCTCTTCAAGTTGTCGAGCTTGTCATTACGAGGGTATATATATATATATTTCACTCTTTTACATTAATTAAAAAAAATTGTTAAAACATCATACCACAACAATAGTCGTATGATTTAATCTCACTTACATTTTTTGTATTACGTTTTTTATTTACTTATTTATTTTTTATATATATTTTCTTTAACATGTAACGAGTATTATACGACATGACACGTGAAGATATCGGGTATGTCATAAAAACGACACGTAAACAATGGCCTCCTCCGGTATTGAGGAAGAATACAATTTGCATCTATACATGCAGATGAATAGTTAAAAATACGGGAATAAGTTTCAAGTTTTTTCCCTTCCTTTTTACAGTTTCGTCAAGTTGGTTTTGGTTCCAAATATGTTGCTCTACGTATGCAATGGCATCATAGCAGAGAATAAAAAGAGAAAACGTCACAGCCATCCAAAGCAAAATCGTGCAGCACTAGGAAACCCCCACCTAGGAATTTACCAAAAACCGTCCACATTCAAGATTAAAATTCCGCCACTGACACTATAAAACTTACCAATTGTTGCATTGATTTGCATCAACTGGCTAGCTCTTCTTGCAAAAAAAACTTCTTTCTTAAACCAGCATTATTAGGCATGGGAGAAGTTGATCTAGCTTTCATCCAGGACCCTGATCACAGGCCTAAACTCTCCATCACCGAAGTCGAGGGCATTCCCTTGATCGACTTGTCTCCGATAAGCTCCCCAGACTCCGCTACTGACCCTAAACTCGTTGAAGAGATTGTTAGGGAAATAGGTAATGCATGCCAGGAGTGGGGCTTTTTCCAAGTGATAAACCATGGGGTTGTACTGGATAAGCTCCGAAAGATTGAGACTGCTGCTAGGAAGTTCTTTGCTCTGCCTTTGGAGGAGAAGAGGAAGATCCGGAGGGATGAAAAAAGCGTGTTGGGTTACTATGACAGCGAGCGCACGAAGAATGTCAGAGACTGGAAGGAGGTGTTTGATTTCACAGTGGAGGAGCCTACTTTAGTTCCGGCTTCGCCTGAACCTGAGGACAAGGAAGAGACTGAGTGGTATAACCAATGGCCTGATTATCCTCCGGAGTTCAGGTAATTCATCGAATAGTATGAATAGATTTAGCTAATCATAAATTGTTATAGGTAGAAAAAGTTTAGGATTCATAGGGTCAATTACACCTACCATGCTATAGTTAAAAAAAATAAAAAATAAATAAAAAACATCTCACTCGCAACAATTCATTTATATGATGTAATGCACTTCCTTGACCAGGGAGGTATGTGAGGAATATGCTCAAGAAGTCGAAAAGCTAGCTCTGAAGCTGATGGGACTTATTGCCTTGAGCCTAGGCTTGCCAGAAGACAGGCTTAGCAACTATTTCAAAGACCAAACAAGTTCTATCAGACTCAACCACTATCCGGCTTGTCCTTCCCCTCAGTTAGCTCTTGGTGTTGGCCACCACAAGGATGGCGGTGCTTTAACCGTGCTGGCACAAGATGATGTCGGAGGGCTGGAAGTGAGGAGGAAAACAGACGGAGCATGGATTCGGGTCAAGCCCACCCCAAATGCCTATATCATCAATGTTGGTGACAGCATTCAGGTTTCACTCTTCAAACTTGATACAAACTTATTATGCTCATAAAAAACACGCATCAAATCACTTCACATAACAAATGAATATGTTTTATGCAGGTTTGGACCAATGAAAAATATCAGAGTGTGGAACACAGGGTTGTGGTGAACTCGGTGAAGGAACGATTTTCTATTCCTTACTTCCTCAATCCATCACACTACACACTAATCAAGCCTTTGGAGGATCTGACAAATGAGCAAAACCCTGCCAAGTATAAGCCCTACAGCTGGGGCAAGTTTATGACCAACAGAAAGCTCAGTAATTTCAAGAAACTTAATGTCGAGAACATCCAAATTCATCATTTCCGGGTATCAGAATAAGTGGGTTGGATCCTAAAGAGTATTACTGGGTGATAGTATGTTAGTTCTTTTTCCTTTTGTATATCAGTTCCAAAAATAATGCCACGCTGTATAGAGAACTTGTAACGAACTTGTGGACATGGGCTGCTTAATGTGTCAATAAAATCAGTAATATTTTTCTGCTTCAAAGACTAAGAACGAATTTAAGAGAACCCCTTCACCTCTATTAATAACAATAATTAGTCCTATTCTATGTCCTTATCAAGAAAAGAACGTAGCTCTGATCGCATTGAAATTAATTGTCTGTGCTGTAAGGAACCTATGAATTTAAGGGTTGAACACAAATCTGGAACCTGATTTATCTTCAGATCTGAGGTGTACGCATGCTATAACTTCCGATAGACGTGATTTGCAATACAATTAGCAAACGGGGTACAAGTAACAATAGTACATTACTCAAGTGACAAAAGACCTTGGCTTAGTTCTGAATGGACTAATAATTTCGTAAATTTTATTGCGAGTACAGTAAACTGATACAATCTGTTTTAATCCATCCTACTTATTTAAAAGCATAAAGTAATACCCTACAACAAATTATTAGTCTGCAATGAGGTCACAGCAAAGAAAAAGATTACCAAAAAAAACACACAATTGACATCCATCCAAAATTTTAAAACCTACAAGTCAATATACTTGTTGCCTCCACTGCTTTGGGAGAAGTTGATCTATATTTCATCCAAGACCCTGATCACAGACCTGGAATACCCTTGATTGACTTCTCTCCAATAAACTCACCAGACTCCAATGTCGACTCAAAATCCATTGAAGAGCTTGTTATAGAAATAGGCAAGCCATGCATAGACTGGGGGATTCTTCCAAGTGATCAATCATGGGATGGTATTGGATAAGCTAGAGAAGATTAAGATTGCTGCTAGGAAGTTCTTTGCTCTGCCTTTGGAGGAGAAGTGGAAGGTTCGGAGGGATGAAAAAAGCTTGTTGGGTTACTATGACATGCATGCTAAAAATGTCAGAGACTGAAATGAGGTGTTTGATTTAACAGTGGAGGAGCCTACTTTAGCCCCCGCTTTGCCTGAACCCGACGACAAGGAAGAGACCAAATGGTGTAACCAATGGCCCAAGTATCCTCGGGAATACAGGTAACTCATGTGAACTCTAAGGGTATAATAAGCCAAACTTATCTTTGGAACTCGATATGTTTGATCTAATGTACTGCCCTGACTAGGATTGCTTGTGAAGAATATGCTCGAAAATCTGGCTCTCAAGTTGATGGGACTTATTGCCTTGAGCCTAGGGTTACCAGAAAACAGGTTCAGCAGCTACTTCAAAGACCAAACAAGTTCTATCTTGATCAATTATTATCCGCCTTGCCCTTCCCCTCAGAAAGCTCTTGGTGTTGGTCCCATAAGGACGTTGGTGCTTTCACTGTGCTGGCTTAGGATGACGTTGGAGGATTTTTGAACTGAAGAGAAAAACAGATGGAGCATGGATTCGTGTGAAACCCACCCCAAATGCCTATATCATCAACGTTGCTGATGTTCTTCACGTCCGCTCTTCTAACTTCACATTATCTTTTTGTGCTCAAGACCACTTTGAAATTTGAGTAATTTCTTTTCAAATTAGTCATTTCTCAAGATGTGCTAACTATCCTGTACAGGTTTGGAGCAATGATGGATATCATAGTGTGGAACACGGGTTGATTTTTTAAATCCGAGAATGATAGGTTTTCGATTTCTTACTTCCTCAAACAATCACACCACCCAAATCCAGCCATTGAAGGAGCTCATTAGTGATGCCAAGTATAGGCCTTACAACTGGGGCAAGTTTATGGCTCACAAAAAAAAAGCTGAGTAATTACAAGAAACTCAATATCGAGAAGTATATCAGAATAATCGGGTTGAAAGATTAGACCCGGCATTTTAGATCCGTTAACCCAATCCGACTCATCCGCTTAAATTAGTATTTAGGTGGATGCTTAACGAGTTAGGTTGTTAACAGGTGAATCCGTTAATCATCCGTTAAATAATAGGTTATCTTAGGTCAACCCACGAGATTTGTTAGCACTTGCTAAGTGAGGATGTTTGAGTAATTTCAATAAAGACTTAACAAGAAAACCTGGCCGACTCGCACACGCAGCCCCGCGCTTTGGTTGGCCCCCTTCTTGTGGCGCCTTCTCGCTCTCTACTCTTCTGATGAAAGCCGCCTAATCTTCTGAAGTCTTCAAGCAATTTAACACTAAAAGCAATACGCTCCAACCACTTCGAGAAAAAAAAAAAAAAAAAAAACATATGAGAATCAAAAGGGAACATTCATACGGCAGACAGCTTGGATACGAAATAAAGAAACCCAACTGCCAGAAACTCACAGAAACATAGAAAAATGGTGATATTGATAGCATGGACAAATTGAAAGCTTTGAAATTTAAAATGAAATGAGCAAAAAGAGAGAAGCTTATGGTTTTGGGTTGGATTTGATTTGAATATACTACAACTAATGCTGGATAGCATGAAAATAATAGAAAAATGGAAGCTGGGAGTTGGGAGTTGGGTATGGTATTTTTCTGGGACCAAGCTTCTCTGTCCTCCCATTTCTCATACACTCTCATCCCTTTCTATATTGATTTTTTTATAGAAATAATAAGACAAAAAGCAATAGTAATATAAAATATTAACGTGGTTTAACCATAATCGCATAAATATGAGAGAATGAGAGTGTATAGGAAGTAGGAGGGCAGAGAAGCCAGGTTCATTTTTCTCTGACCGCGCCATAACCAATGCCGGATAGATGATTGAAGTTGATGATGGCGATGATGATGTTACAGCCCATCCTTTTCTTTTGCTTAAAAAAAATAAAAAAAAATAAAAAAAATAATTGATATGTGTGTGTACGATGGTACTGTTCATTAATACTTGTGATTTGATTAAAATATGTGTAAATTGTATTGGAATGAAAAAATAAAAAAAAAATTGTTAATGGGTGTTAACGGATGACTTATTAAACTAACGGGTTGGATTTTGTTGACTCGTTAGCTAAATGGGTTGGATTTGGATGACCCGTTAAATTAACCGATTAGGTCGAAACCAATCCAAATCTAATAAACCTGACCCATTTACAGGTCTAGGAAGGAGTATTACTGAGCAATATAGTTACCAGCAAACACATTATGCATAAAAAAACCAGCAATATTATCCAGAGTGTTGTAAACATTCCTAGTTTAAGTGTGTACGTAAATCCTAGATTTGATTTGATTCTAGTTATCTTTTCCTATTACAAATTGTATTCATTGGGGATGAATGAATATCTTCTCTCATTTTACTAATATAAATAAAAGCACTATGTTGGAGGGAGTGCCCGCCCATTCTGTCTCGCCCTAAATGGAATAGCTCTCTTAGTTATACTGGGCCCCGACCCTACCATTATACAAACACATGTCTCTCAATCTCTCTCTTCTCCTTGATGCCAGCCTTCTTACCCTTGTCAGATAAAATAGGTTAAAACATGTTATCAGCACGCTCCTACTGCTGCGCTTAGGAATCTGACGTTGAAGAATTTTTCTACATCAAACCAGTTCATCCATATCATCACGCAATCAGGTTGTTTCAAAACAACGGTTTTTATTTAATATTTTTGCAGCCCTGATAGCATGAACATTCACCATTATGCATGACCTAACTTTACGTTTTTCAAATTTTAGATTCTACATAAATTGTGTATGCATTATATTCATAATTGTTGAATTATGTGAATTTGATATTTTCCATGAATTGCATTAAATATATGTACATGCATTATAATACTATTGAATTGAATATGCTTTGAATTAAATTGTATATGAAAAAAAATTTACGATTGGTAAAACTAGGGTTCTTCGAACCCCTAACCTCACCCAGGCCTGCAACCTACAGACTGAGTTGCGCCAAGCCGAGAACCATCACGCCATGGAGGCAGAAGCTCCGAGCTTCACAACCCAGAAAACTCAACACCTCTAATGGTGTCCGTGTCCACATCGACCACAAGCATGGCCAGCAGCCATTGCCCTGAACCTTTGGTTCTTGTCGCCGACAACCAGAAGTCGTCCCTCACCGGAAATTGGACTGAGATTCGATTGAATCTCATCGAAATTTTTTGAAAATCCAATTTAAATTTTCTAGGGTTTGGTTGTTATAACGTTGAGATTACATCATCTCCGTTCACCACCGTGGTCGTCAAGGACCACCATGACTTAACCCGAGTCTTAACAAACCCCAGACTGTCGCCATGAGCGACAGGTCTGGCGTTCTTCTCCGGCGAAACTCACCCATCACACGTTAGGGTGTTTAGTTCAAAAACTTGAGCCTTTCTTAGGCTTCGCCCGTTCTCAGTGCAGCTCCAATCCGTTGGGCTTTGGAGCTCCCTTCAGCCCAACTATTTTCCCCAAGCCTACAAAGAAAAAAAAAACCAATTTTTTTTTTGGGCTTGCTTTGAGGCAGCCCGTATGAAAATCTTTTTTAGTTTTGTTTTGGGCTTGCCTGCAGCAGCCCATCTCCCTGGCCGTGTGGTTTTTTTTTAGGGGCTCACCTGATGCAGCCAATTTTGTTCCTCTCCTCCCCGTAGGCCTGAAGCCTGCACCCGAAAAACTCCAGCCCAATTTTTGGGCCTAGGTCGCATGGACCAAATTTGCTTAGCCCACCCATGGGCTTTGGCCTATATTTTTGGGCCCCGAGTTTTGATTGTTTAATATTTTTAGACAACATGGGTTTTATATTTTTTTCACCCACACTTTAAATTTGGCCCGAAGTCCAAATAATTAATTCAATTATAATTGTAAACCTAAAGTTCCATTTGCATATTCTTGTTGCATATTTTTGTGTATATATTTGTGTTTGTCTGCAGGAACATATGAACTTGAAGTTCATAATTATTTTGAAACCTGAAGTTTCTTAAAAACTTGCCTTGTTTGAAAACGTAAAGTTTTCATTTAAAAACATCACCCATGAAAACCCGAAGTTTTTTCATGCAAAATTAAACCAATACATGTATATTAGAACGTGTTGTTCTACTTCTATATGAATGGATTGAGTTTTTCTCGATTACACTAACCACATCTTGTCCATTTAGTTTGTGATAGGAACATGTCGAATTTGAACAAACTCGACTTCACCGCTTTGGAAGTCTCTGGAAGGAACTACCTT